TATATATATGCACGTATTTACGTATAAGGAAGGACTGGTTCCGTCAAGTTATTGAAAACGAGTTATAATATAAATGATAATATATAAATCTAACATATTCAAATAAATTTACTTAACAATCAATTTTAATGGGAGTAGATATGTTTACCTATTGTCTTGCTCAAACTCCTCACTGCTCTTTCGAACTAGACTAGAGGTTTAACCCTTGTTGGCTGTTTAGGATTGAGTTTCTGGTTCTTTCTAAAGTCTGCTTCAACTCTATACTTCTAACGTCTCCACCTAAACTCTGAAATGTTATTTATTTTCTTTCTTCAGTAGGAGTAGATAGTTTGTTTTTTTTTAACAGGAGTAGAGGTTTATTCCTTGTTTCCTGTTTAGGATTGGGTTTCCGGTTCCTTCTAAAGTCTACTTCAACTCTATACTTCTAATGTCTCCACCTAAACTCTGAAATGTTATTTATTTATTTTCTTCTTTCAGTAGGAATAGATAGGTTTTTTGAAAAGGAGTAGAGGTTTATCCCTTGTTTCCTGTTCAGGATTGTGTTTCCGGTTCCTTCTAAATTCTACTTCAACTCTATACTTCTAACGTCTCCGCCTAAATTGATAAATTTTATTTATTATTTATTCATTTTTTTTTCTATTTTTAATTTTCATTTTTACCTCAATAGGAGTAGGTTCATTATTTACATCGTTCGGACTGTTGTCCTAATATTTATTGCCATGTTCACTACGTTTCGGCCGTTGGACGCCCCAGCCTTCTTCAGGTGATTGGAATTTCGAACTGCACCTTTTATTTATGCCAACTCGTGTAGATTGTTCTAGTTCCACGTGCCATGCATCTTCGGGATGTCTTAGTTATCTCTTTTTAACTCACCTCTCGAATTTTGTTCACCACTGCAGTAGGCAGGTATTGAACACACAACACTTTGTTCCAAGTCACTGGATCCAACTAACTCTTTTTTTTCCACTGACTCATGTGTACTTGAGTAATAAACGTAAATAAAGTTTAAAAAAATACAATACCTCATCTCAGAAATAGAGACTGATATAAGAGGAGGTCTTACTGTCGTACGGTTCACACTCCTCCCTGGATTTTTTTCTTTAATAGGAGTAGAGGTTTATACATTGATTCATGTTGGGATTCCGGTTCCTTCAAAAGTTTTTTCCTTCTCTTTGACTCGACTTGAGTCTTAGTGGTATTATTGCCTTTCTTGGGGTACATTTATTAAAAACAATAACAACAACAAAAAAGCTTGTGAAGAATACTATGAAATTATAGGAGGGAGAAAATAAGTGAAAATTATATTTTATTTCTTTACTATATATGTGTGTGTCTATGTGTTTGAGTCTGATTGAATGTAAACACGCACATGCCCGCTCGCCTGTGTGCGTCGGTGTGTTTCGATTGCCATTATTCCAGGAACTGGTTAAATATAATCATGAAATAAATAAATAATGTTATAATGGCATTTCTTACTTTTGAATATCTTGGCATTTTCTGGATTTATAATTCATTTTAAAACCACTTTTTACTATGTACATCATTTACATTATTCGGACTATTATCCTCATCTTTTTCGCCATATTTATTACAACGTTTCGGCCTTTCAGTATCTGTCTATATTTCTGAGATGAGGTATTATGTACACTATTTACATTATTCGGACTATTGTCCTCATCTTTGTCGCCATATTTATTACAATGTTTCGGCCTTTCAGTATCTGTCTATATTTCTGAGATAAGGTATTATATACACTATTTATATTATTCGGACTATTGTTCTCATCTTTGTCCTCATATTTATTACAACGTTTCGGCCCTTCAGTATCTGTCTATATTTCTGAGATGAGGTATTATGTACACTATTTAAATTATTCGGACTATTGTCCTCATCTTTGTCGCAATATTTATTACAACGTTTGCGGCTCACTGGGGTAGACTGTTCTAGTTCAATACCCGGTTAAGGCAATGGAAAACTTTCAGAGCAAAATTAACATGAGATAACTTATAACTGAAATCCATTAAAACATGGCACGTGGAACTTCTGCGTATTATAAATCTAATGTCTTCAGCAACCTTTTTTTTTTACCAATGCTCATATTGCAATTTTTACTGTTATTCCTCATGTTTTTGCGAGAGCTCATATTGCAATTCTTCTTGTTATTATCGCTGTTCTCTAGCACTCCTTATTACTGGTCCCCATATTGTATTCATTTCTATGCTTGGCCGACTCAGGAGATTTTTGTGAACGAAATAAAGGGTTCAGATCGACATTCCAAACACCTGAAGAAGGCCGGAACTTACAACGGCCGAAACCTTGTAATAAATATGGCGACAAATATGAGGACGATAGTCCGAATAATGTCAATAATGTACATAATACCTCATCTCAGAAATATAGACAGATACATTTTATTGTAATACGATGTTAAAAGATGATTTTCAAGAACGAGGATTAATCCTATTTATCTCAATTGATCCAAATAATCCCTAAATCCGTTCTACCCGATTGAAGCTTAGGACGAATTTACGGTATAAAACTCGTGTCCTTCGTATCAGCAGTTCACATGATGCTAAAAGACAAAGAGCATATCCGTTGAATATAGTCATGTAGAATAAAAAATATACTAAATCTCAGTACTAAGAACGGATAAAGGAAGAAGGAAGAGCTTTTGGTCGAAACCTTGTGTCGGGAAATGGGAATGTTCTAAAAAAGTTATGAATGTTTTGCAGTTATCATTATTCGCGTTCGAACAAATTTCATCATATATTTATTATTATAAGGTTTCGGTCGTTGTACTCACAGAACTTCTTTAGCTACCGGACGAACGTACAGTTTTCAGAAAAATGTCGACTCTGTATTAGTAGATATTATAATCAGGCAGCAGATGAGATACCGCTATACCAGGACAACGGAAAGAGAAAAAAAATAATTGCTCCCCCCGTAAATTAAATAACGAGTAATTGAATGACAAAAGGAACAAAATCCTCCATTTTCTCCATTATTCAACAGAGAGCCCCCTCACTGACTTTCATCGACATGACTGATGCTAACCTCCAGGTAAGTGAAGTGTTGCGCCTTCTAGGGCTAATATGAAGTGGAAAAAACTATAATGAATCCATTGCTTGTCAGCTCCTAAGAAAATTAGTTCACTATGTCGTCCTGAGAGACAATATTACTCTCCACAATCTATCATACATTTCTATATGTCTGCAATTCGTCCATACTTAGAATATTGCTGACATATTTGGTCCAGTGCTTCTGCTATTTAACTTGATAAAAAAACAAAAACAAAAAAACAAGAAGAATCAGCATTATTATAGATCCTGATCTGGCGACTCGGCTTCAGTCACTTTTCCACCGCGGTAAGGTTGCCTCCCTCCCTTGTGTCCATGAATACTTTCATGGTAATTGTTTGGATGAACTCTTAGATATGGTACCTGTACATTAAAAAAAAAATTAAGCGCTGTACTAGACTGGCGTCAAGATCTCATCAATTTACAGTTGAGCTGGCTAGATGTAGCCGTAAGTTCTATGCTAACACTTTCTTTTCTCGTACCTATTGCTTGTTGAATTGCCTTTCAGATCCATCCTTTCCATACGACATTAATCTGCAAAAATTTAAATGCAGTGCCAACCGACATCTATCTGATTACTCTCTTCTATATGTGTTTTATTTCTTTTTCTGTTCCTAATTCTTTGACACTCTGTAATCCTTTTGTGGCCTTGTTAGGGCCAGAATTAAAGACACAAGAGAAGAATTGAGTTAAACACATATATTAACAGAAAACAGTAATAAAAAACACTTACAATAAAGAGTGTTACAGCAAGAATGCTCGGTCCGACTGTCAGAGCTGACTGCTGGAAACTTCCCTCTACAAAGAGCAGTACCTGCTCCTATTTATAGCTGGGAGAATCCATGCGTGCGTGGGTAAATTACTATAACAAATCCCTTATGATTTCTTGGCCCGACTGCCTTGCAGGGTGATATCAATATATATATATATATATATATATATATATATATATATATATATATATACATGTATATAAATAAAAAGAAAGAACAGTAAGATATAAAATCCGGTGTTCTTATAGATATTTTTATTTTTACAAAATAGTGCTCAATGTAAATTTACAGAGCATTAATATTATAAATTAATTGATTTAAAATATGGTTATTTTCGCTACACAGTTCAATTGGAACTGTGTGAAAATTCATATTTTAAATTAATTATATATATATATATATATATATATATATATATATATATATATATATCGTAGTAGTCTTGTCAAGAAATAGGTGAAATATGCTAAATGAACCTCTGGGCGTAATTCTACGGTGCGAAAATCAGAAATTAATAAAGCGTGCAATTTAAAATTCCCTGGATCCTACCAGGGGTCACAGATATGTAAAGAAGACCGGGTATACAACGTTTGAAGTGCTGTCATCCTAATAACAAAAATTCCCTGAATGTTAGTTGGGGATCACAGACACATGAAGGTGGCCGATTATACAACTCTTGAAGCGCTGTCATCATAATAACAAAATTACCCTGAATGCTACCAGGGATCACAGACATATAAAGAATGTCGAGGATACAGCGTTTGAAGCACTGTCGTAATAACAAAAAATCCCTGAATGTCAACTAGGGTCACAGACAAATAAAGAATTTTGGGGATACAACACGCTGTCGTCATAATAACAAAAACGAGAGAATTAGTTCGAATGTAAATAAAGATATTTATGCGTAATAATTTAGGCAATTATTTTCAAATATATGAAAGGTCAATAAATGTTTGGTATTTATCATTGAGAAAGAACGCGATTTAGGATCTTGAGTTGATTTTAATGTCATGAAAACTTTACCTGAAATGATCGGAAGTCATTGAATTATTTTCTAGGTCTTTTTTTCGGCTTTTCCATTCCATCATTCTTTCGCTCTGTACATTTCTTTAATGTCTTCTCACTTTCAAATTTCAAACGATTCTTAGGCATGGTTCTCTCTTTCTTCCCCTTCTCTTCTCTCTCTTCCCCTCTTTCTCCTCCTCCTCCTCTTCTCCTTCTTTCCTTTACCTTCTTTTCCCCTTGTCTACTCTTTCCTTCTCTTCTCCTTCTTTTCTCTTTCTTTCCTTCTCTTTCTCCTCCTCTTCTGCTCTTTCTTTCCTTTCTTCTCTTTCTTCCCATTCTCTTCTCCGCCTCCTTCTCTTGTCTTCCTTTCCCTTCTCTACTTCTTCTCATCCTTCTCTTCTCTTTCTTCCCCTTCTCTTCCCTTTCTCACACTTCTCTTCTTTTTCTTCCCCCTCTCTTTTTCTTCCCAGTCTCTTCTCTTTCTTTCCCTTCTCTTCCTTTTCCCACTTCTCTTCTCTTTCTTCCGGGTCTCTTCTCTTTCGTCCTTTTCTCTTTCCTTTTTCCCCTTTCTCTTTTCCTTCTTCCCCTTGTATTCTCTTTCTTCCCCTTCTCTTCTCCGCCTCCTTCTCTTGTCTTCATTTCCCTTCTCTTCTCCGCCTCCTTCTCTTGTCTTCCTTTCCCTTCTCTATTTCTTCTCATCCTTCTCTTCTCTTTCTTCCCCTTCTCTTCCTTTTCCCACTTCTCTTCTCTTTCTTCCGGTCTCTTCTCTTTCGTCATTTTCTCTTTCCTTTCCCCCCTTTTCTTTTCCTTCTTCCCTTTGTCTCTCTCTCTTCCCCTTCTCTTCTCCGCCTCCTTCTCTTGTCTTCCTTTCCCTTCTCTACTTCTTCTCATCCTTCTCTTCCCACTTCTCTTCCTTTTCCCACTTCTCTTCTCTTTCTTCCGGGTCTCTTCTCTTTCGTCCTTTTCTCTTTCCTTTTCCCCTTTTCTTTTTCCTTCTTCCTTGTCTTCTCTTTCTTCCCTTCTCTTCTCCGCCTCCTTCTCTTGTATTCCTTTCCCTTCTCTATTTCTTCTCATCCTTCTCTTCTCTTTCTTCCCCTTCTCTTCCTTTTCCCACTTCTCTTCTCTTTCTTCCGGGTCTCTTCTCTTTCGTCCTTTTCTCTTTCCTTTTCCCCCTTTCTCTTTTCCTTCTTCCCCTTGTCTTCTCTTTCTTCCACTTCTCTTCTCCGCCTCCTTCTCTTGTATTGCTTTCCCTTCTCTATTTCTTCTCATCCTTCTCTTCTGTTTCTTCCCATTCTCTTCCTTTTCCCACTTCTCTTCTCTTTGTTCCTCGTCTCTTCTCTTTCGTCCTTTTCTCTTTCCTTTTTCCCCTTTCTCTCTTTCCTTCTTCCCCTTGTCTTCTCTTTCTTCCCTTCTCTTCTCCGCCTCCTTCTCTTGTCTTCCTTTCCCTTCTCTACTTCTTCTCATCCTTCTCTTCCCCCTTCTCTTCCTTTTCCCACTTCTCTTCTCTTTCTTCCGGGTCTCTTCTCTTTCGTCCTTTTCTCTTTCCTTTTTCCCCTTTCTCTTTTTCCTTCTTCCCCTTGTCTTCTCTTTCTTTCCCTTCTCTTCTCCGCCTCCTTCTCTTGTCTTCCTTTCCCTTCTCTATTTCTTCTCATCCTTCTCTTCTCTTTCTTCCCCTTCTCTTCCTTTTCCCACTTCTCTTCTCTTTCTTCCGGGTCTCTTCTCTTTCGTCCTTTTCTCTTTCCTTTTTCCCCTTTCTCTCTTTCCTTCTTCCCCTTGTCTTCTCTTTCTTCCCCTTCTCTTCTCCGCCTCCTTCTCTTGTCTTCCTTTCCCTTCTCTATTTCTTCTCATCCTTCTCTTCTCTTTCTTCCCCTTCTCTTCCTTTTCCCACTTCTCTTCTCTTTCTTCCGGGTCTCTTATCTTTCGTCCTTTTCTCTTTCCTTTTTCGCCTTTCTCTTTTCCTTCTTCCCCTTGTCTTCTCTTTCTTCCCCTTCTCTTCTCCGCCTCCTTCTCTTGTCTTCCTTTCCCTTCTCTATTTCTTCTCATCCTTCTCTTCTTTTCTTCCCCTTCTCTTCCTTTTCCCTTCTCTTCTCTTTCTTCCGGTCTCTTCTCTTTCGTCCTTTTCTCTTTCCTTTTCCCCCTTTCTCTTTTCCTTCTTCCCCTTGTCTTCTCTCTCTTCCCCTTCTCTTCTCCGCCTCCTTCTCTTGTCTTCCTTTCCCTTCTCTACTTCTTCTCATCCTTCTCTTCCCACTTCTCTTTCTTTTCCCACTTCTCTTCTCTTTCTTCCGGGTCTCTTCTCTTTCGTCCTTTTCTCTTTCCTTTTTCCCCTTTCTCTTTTCCTTCTTCCCCTTGTCTTCTCTTTCTTCCCCTTCTCTTCTCCGCCTCCTTCTCTTGTATTCCTTTCCCTTCTCTATTTCTTCTCATCCTTCTCTTCTCTTTCTTCCCCTTCTCTTCCTTTTCCCACTTCTCTTCTCTTTCTTCCTCGTCTCTTCTCTTTCGTCCTTTTCTCTTTCCTTTTCCCCCTTTCTCTTTTCCTTCTTCCCCTTGTCTTCTCTTTCTTCCCCTTCTCTTCTCCGCCTCCTTCTCTTGTATTCCTTTCCCTTCTCTATTTCTTCTCATCCTTCTCTTCTGTTTCTTCCCCTTCTCTTCCTTTTCCCACTTCTCTTCTCTTTCTTCCTCGTCTCTTCTCTTTCGTCCTTTTCTCTTTCCTTTTTCCCCTTTCTCTCTTTCCTTCTTCCCCTTGTCTTCTCTTTCTTCCCATTCTCTTCTCCGCCTCCTTCTCTTGTCTTCCTTTCCCTTCTCTACTTCTTCTCATCCTTCTCTTCCCCCTTCTCTTCCTTTTCCCACTTCTCTTCTCTTTCTTCCGGGTCTCTTCTCTTTCGTCCTTTTTCTCTTTCCTTTTTCCCCTTTCTCTTTTTCTTCTTCCCTTGTCTTCTTTTCTTTCCCTTCTCTTCTCCGCCTCCTTCTCTTGTCTTCCTTTCCTTCTCTATTTCTTCTCATCCTTCTCTTCTTTCTTCCCCTTCTCTTCCTTTTCCCACTTCTCTTCTCTTTCTTCCGGGTCTCTTCTCTTTCGTCCTTTTCTCTTTCCTTTTTCCCCTTTCTCTCTTTCCTTCTTCCCCTTGTCTTCTCTTTCTTCCCCCTTCTCTTCTCCGCCTCCTTCTCTTGTCTTCCTTTCCCTTCTCTATTTCTTCTCATCCTTCTCTTCTCTTTCTTCCCCTTCTCTTCCTTTTCCCCTTCTCTTCTCTTTCTTCCGGTCTCTTCTCTTTCGTCCTTTTCTCTTTCCTTTTTTCCCCTTTCTCTTTTCCTTCTTCCCCTTGTCTTCTCTTTCTTACCCTTCTCTTCTCCGCCTCCTTCTCTTGTCTTCCTTTCCCTTCTCTATTTCTTCTCATCCTTCTCTTCTCTTTCTTCCCCTTCTCTTCCTTTTCCCCCTTCTCTTCTCTTTCTTCCGGTCTCTTCTCTTTCGTCCTTTTCTCTTTCCTTTTTTCCCCTTTCTTTTCCTTCTTCCCCTTGTCTTTCTTTCTTCCCCTTCTCTTCTCCGCCTCCTTCTCTTGTCTTCCTTTCCTTCTTTATTTCTTCTCATCCTTCTCTTCTCTTTCTTCCCCTTCTCTTCCTTTTCCACTTCTCTTCTCTTTCTTCCGGGTCTCTTATCTTTCGTCCTTTTTTCTCTTTCCTTTTTCCCTTTTCTCTTTTTCCTTCTTCCCTTGTCTTCTCTTTCTTCCCCTTCTCTTCTCCGCCTTCTTCTCTTGTCTTCCTTTCCTTCTCTATTTCTTCTCATCCTTCTCTTCTCTTTCTTCCCCTTCTCTTCCTTTTCCCCTTCTCTTCTCTTTCTTCCGGGTCTCTTCTCTTTCGTCCTTTTCTCTTTCCTTTTTCCCCTTTCACTTTTCCTTCTTACACTTGTCTTCTCTTTCTTCCCCTTCTCTTCTCCGCCTCCTTCTCTTGTCTTCCTTTCCCTTCTCTATTTCTTCTCATCCTTCTCTTCTCTTTCTTCCGCTTCTCTTCCTTTTCCCACTTCTCTTCTCTTTCTTCCTCGTCTCTTCTCTTTCGTCCTTTTCTCTTTGCTTTTTCCCCTTTCTCTCTTTCCTTCTTCCCCTTGTCCTCTCTTTCTTCCCCTTCTCTTCTCCGCCTCCTTCTCTTGTCTTCCTTTCCCTTCTCTATTTCTTCTCATCCTTCTCTTCTCTTTCTTCCCCTTCTCTTCCTTTTCCCACTTCTCTTCTCTTTCTTCCGGGTCTCTTCTCTTTCGTCCTTTTCTCTTTCCTTTTTCCCCTTTCACTTTTCCTTCTTCCCCTTGTCTTCTCTTTCTTCCCCTTCTCTTCTCCGCCTCCTTCTCTTGTCTTCCTTTCCCTTCTCTATTTCTTCTCATCCTTCTCTTCTTTTCTTCCCCTTCTCTCTTCCTTTCCCCTTCTCTTCTCTTTCTTCCTCGTCTCTTCTTTTTCGTCCTTTTCTCTCCCTTTTCCCCTTTCTCTCTTTCCTTCTTCCCCTTTGTATTCTCTTTCTTCCCTTCTCTTCTCCGCCTCCTTCTCTTTCTTCCTTTCTCCTTCTATTTCTTCTCATCCTTCTCTTCTTTTTCTTCCCCGTCTCTTCTCTTTCTTCCCCTTCTCTTCCTTTTCCCACTTCTCTTCTCTTTCTTCCGGGTCTCTTCTCTTTCGTCCTTTACTCTTTCCTTTTTCCCCTTTCACTTTTTTCCTTCTTTCCCTTGTCTTCTTTTCTTCCCCTTCTCTTCTCCGCCTCCTTCTCTTGTCTTCCTTTCCCTTCTCTATTTCTTCTCATCCTTCTCTTCTCTTTCTTCCCCTTCTCTTCCTTTTCCCACTTCTCTTCTCTTTCTTCCTCGTCTCTTCTTTTTCGTCCTTTTCTCTTTCCTTTTTCCCCTTTCTCTCTTTCCTTCTTCCCCTTCTCTTCTCTTTCTTCCCCTTCTCTTCTCCGCCTCCTTCTCTTGTCTTCCTTTCCCTTCTCTATTTCTTCTCATCCTTCTCTTCTTTTTCTTCCCCGTCTCTTCTCTTTCTTCCCCTTCTCTTCCATTTTCCCACTTCTCTTCTCTTTCTTCCGGGTCTCTTCTCTTTCGTCCTTTTCTCTTTCCTTTTTCCCCTTTCTCTCTTTCCTTCTTCCCCTTGTCTTCTCTTTCTTACCAATCTATCAGTCATCTTGTTCCCATTATTTGTCTTTGTTCCTTTTCATTCTTCTCTCTTCTCCCAACTTTAACCTTTCACTTCTCTCTGTCTCTCTCTTTCATCTCTCTCACTCACTCGCCACACTTTTATTCTCCCCCTTCTTATACTTGTCTTTTTCAAATCTTCATCCTCATCTCATTGATATGCGGGTGATGTAATATGTAGAGACTCCGAATCAGAAATCCAAGTTCAAATCTCAATCGATTTCATTACATTCATCTATGTTCAAATTCCCCTTCGCAAACGTATGATCCCACCTACCTTCCCAGCTATGGGTTAAATAAAAGGATAGACTGTCACATCTGTCTGTATATCTGACATCAGGGATTATGATTTATTACATTGGTCGCTAGTATGCCTGATTAAAAGGCCGGGCAATTATAATATATGCAAATGGGTTCAAAGTTCGATGCAGTTACCGAACATATATTTATCAGGAGGAATACCTTTGTAATCCATGGAAAGATTAAAAAATCAAACAACGTGTTGAAGATTCAAGAATGCAAATGGAAAAAGATTTTCACTAAAATTCAAACAAACTGGATCGATGGCAGATGTGAAAACACCATTGCGTGCTCGTCTACGCCGTTCAGCTGAAAACAGTGCTGCAGTGTACGAGAATGTGGCCGAAAATCCTAACCCCTCTATTCGTCATCGCGGGCAGGAATTGAACCTCTCCACAACATCATTACGCTGTTTCCAATTGCACTCTTGGTTGGTCGATTATGTTGACCAAAAAAATCGCGATGTGCGCTAAATTAATATCTATTTGAACGTCCATTTTCGTAATAGGCTTCGATAACTTTGACATGTTTGTTAATATTTCCGTGGTTGAAAGTGCCAGATTTAAGTTGTTAAATCTTAAAGAAAAAGTAAACAATCATGAGACCCTTTAAATTTAATTCACATTTAAAATCGTTCCAAGTTATTGGAACACCCTTTGCAATCATTAATAACTCACAATGTCCGTTAGCGATACATATTTTCCCCCAAGAATCTAATAAAACATCCGGGCGTTTAATAACAAGTCCGCTTCCATACTTTAGTACCTCAGCGTATATACCATCCAACCTATAAGGCCGTTCACTATTCAGCTTTTTTACAGCATCCACCGTCTTGCCAAGCGACAGAGAAGTGGCCAGATCTTCTGCAAATGGTCTGTTACGAATAGTATTGAGAAGATCCCCATCCACTAAAAGAGTAAAACTTAATGGCCCATCAAAATATTCATGTTGTTTTTCAATATCTTTTGGTTAACTACTGTGGGTACACTAGATTCTGTTTGTTTTATTTTGCTTTATGCCATGTCAACCTTAATGGGTTATTTAAGGCCGACATGATTTTTATTGCTGGTAATTTTTTTTTTTCAAAAATGTATTACTGGTAATTATTTCTTCAAAAATGTAATGGTGGCAATAATTTTCTTTTTCAAAAATGTACTGCTCGTAATAATTTTTCCAAAACAGTATTGCTGGTATTAAAATCTAATTCTATACTTCATGGTGTTTTGACCCCTTTTTGGAGGTTAACTATCTGCCCATAGCTGGGACCCTGACAAGTGCTACCACCCCGAGTCAGGGTGGATCTGGGAACACCAGATATTAAGAGGTGTTTTCATGCTCCTAAAAATCTCCTGATCAAAGCCCTTGCTGTCGGATGTAGTTTATCGTTTTACCCTGAACGCGGATGTAGTTTATCGTGTTACCCAGGACGCATATGTTGTTTATCATCTTACCCAGGATGCAGATGTAGTTTAACGACTTACTCTGGATGGGAATGTAGTTTATCATCTTACTCTGGACGCGGGTGTAGTTTATCATGTTACCCAGGATGTGGATGTAGTTTATTGTCTTACCCAGGACACGGGTACACTAGAGAGGACAGTGAGTCATAAACATTGTCCAAAAGGTTGTAAAGGAAATTTGAAGCTTACTCCTGCCTGTTTCTTGTTTAGCTTTAATATTTCAACCATTTTTTCTTTCATATGACACTCACCGTTTAACCTTTCTCTCATATTTGAGCTCATTAATCACATTTTGCCTTTCATCATATGACGGATATGAAAAAGCTTTTTCGTTTCTTCTGCAAAATCTCTTCGGGCTCTGAACCATTGTTGTCGATCCAATCTTCCTGTTTCCTCTCCAGGAAATTTAAAACATCACTACTTATGCCATAAACGAATTCTTTCAAAGCTGGCAATGTGTTTTCGCAGTCTGCCTCGCCCTGGCAATCCTCAAGGTCTTTACACACATACTTATCGCTCAAACAAAAGACATTGATCTTCCTTGGAATGGGCATATTTGAGAAATGTTTATTTTCTGAATGTCTCAGTTATTTCCCTTTAAAACAACTCTCCCAGTTTCCGTTTACCTCTGCTGTGGCCTGGTATTGAACTCACAACTCTTAAATTCTTACACAGATAAGACACATGGCCCAATGCGTACAGACGGTGGTTAGATCGAGGGACTAGACCCAAAGTGCGGTGAGTTCAATAACAGGCCACAGTGAACCAAAAATTGGACAGTTGAATCAAAAGGAATTATCTGAGGCATCCGGAAGAGGCATGACACGTGGAACTAGAATAATCTACCCAGGTGGACGAAATAAAGGTTTGAAGGTACAACGGCCGAACCGTGGTAAATATGGCACTTTTTATAACAGTCCGTCTAATGTAAGTAGGATATGGTTGCGCTCTTTATCATTGCTTACCTTTCAAAACCTGAGGTAACCGAATTCCGGGTTGAAATTTGGCAAGACTTTTTTTTATTTTGTCAAATATCCTTCCCCTTGATTTCTTTCTTACCTACTTAAGGGATTCTAGTTTCCCTCCCCACTTGTCTATCTTCGCTTTTCTTCTGAGTCCTTCCTCATCGGGCAGTTATATGCCATGCGTGATACACGGGAGACGTGGCAGAAATTTCCCACAGTAGGTTGCAATTTCTTTCTGCGTTAGAATGACAACCGGTCTCTTTTGCTATTTACCCATAGATGGAAGAAGTGTCATACATTTCCCAAGCACGTAAGTGAATGTAATATATTCACCGGGAATTCGAACTTGACCCTCCGATTCCTCAATCGGAGCCGCTATCCACTAATCCATGCCTCCCTCATAGCATTCTAATTTAACATTTCGTCTTACCCGCCATTCTCAATACTCCTCTTTATTTCTCTCTCTCACTCCCTCTCACTCGCTTTCTCTCTTTGTCTCCTCTTCTCATTGTTCTCTTTTTACTTGCATATCATTAATTTTTTTTTTATCTCTCAATCCTTTTCACCATTACTCGATCCGCGTCTTGGGTATGACAATATACTACGTCACTTTCAAATTTCAAACGATTCTGAGCCTTGGTGCTCTCTCTCTTTCTTTCCCTTCTCTTCTCTTTCTTCCCCTTCTCTTCTCTTTCTTCCCCTTCTCTTCTCTTTCTTCTCCTCTTTTTTCCCCTTCTCTTTCTTCCCATTCTCTCGCCTTTCTTTCCTTTCACTTCTTTTACCCCTACTCTAGACCTCTGGCAAGGAGAATTTGAGGGGCGAGGAATCACCTCTCAATTGCTGATGTTTTCAAGCTCACCCTGACCTGCGGTGATAGCACCTGTTAGGGTTCTAGCTATGGGTAAATAGTTACCCACAAACTGGCGTCAAAATTTTATGAAAGTGTAAAAATAGGTTTTAATATCCAAAATACTTTGTAAAAATATTATTACCAGAAATACATTTTTGAAAAAAAAATATTACCAGCGATACATAATTGAAGGAAAATTATTACCTGAGATCGATTTTTGAAGAAAAAATATTACCAGGAATATATTTTGAAAAAATATATATTATTAACAATAAACATTTTGTCAATATTGAGGTTGATATGCCGTAAAACAGAACAAAAAGAAAAAATCAATCAACATTTCCCTCTTCTCACACGTGTCGACAATTTCTTGTCCAAAAGGGTGTTCCAATAATTTGGACCGATTTCAAATGTGTATTAATTTTAAGCGTCTATTGATTTTTTTTTTTTCTTTCAGATTTAACAACATGAGTCTTTGGCAATTTCAACCATGGAAAGATTAACAATCAAACAGCGTATTAAAGTTTCAAAAGTGCAAATTTGAAAAATTGTTCGTAAATTCAAGCAAACTGGATCAGTGGCAAATGGGAAAACACCATTGCCTGCTCGTTTACACCGTTCAGCTGAAAACATTACCTCAGTGCACAAGAATGTGGCCGAAAATCCATACACCTCTATTCATCATCACGTACGGGAATTGAACCTCTCCACAACAACATTTACATCATTTATTCGTTTCCAATTGCAATCTCGATTGGCCAATTATGTTGACCAAAAATATTGCGAAGTACGCGAAATTTATTTCTGTTTGCTTCGATAACTTTACCACATCGTTTGATTGTTAATCTTTTCATGGTTGAAACTGCCAAAGATTAAGTTGTGAAATCTGAAAGATAAAGAAAAAATCATTAGACGATTAAAATTAATTAATATTTAAAATCGGTCCAAGTTATTGGTACACCCTTTAGTTCCAGTTTATTACTTTTTAGTAGCTGTTTATCTGGCTCACACCCTCTGAGGTGGACCTTAGGGTTAGCTCGTCGTAGACAAAACAAAGAAATTCCTTCTTGACTAGTTAAAACTAGCGCGGGAAGGTTAGAGAGATAGAAAGCGTTTTAGAGGAGTTAAGTTTTAAGCGTCGAAGAAGGCAGACGTATTAATGTGCGGGAACTTCTCCCTAGTTGAGGTGACAAAGAGATACTTCTGGCTAGCTAAAAAAAAATGTAGACGTCGACGTGTTTAATAAAATAGATAAGTCAAAAAATCCCATTTGTTGAAGTTTTCATTTTACCTCGGAACTAAAAGAACAACTAGTGATCACCCGGGCAGAAGATGACAGACAGAAGAAGGTTAACATATGAGTGAATCAAGACCGTCGCCCCAAGATGAACAGCAGCGTGGAGGGGTATGCAACAAGCGTTTCTACCCTTTTTCTTCGACTTTATCTTTTCTTCTTACTTCTCATGCCACTTATCCTTACTGTATTGACTAGTTCTTTTCTCTTTACCTATCCCGTTCTCTTTCTTTCCCTAACCACCTTTTCCTCTCTCTCTTTATCTCTTAATGCGTTCATTTGTATAATTTTCTTCTCCATTTTCATGTCTTTTATCTTCGTTTTCATTCCCTTCCTTACTTTCTCTTTTACCGCATTTTCCCTTCCACTTCCATCGCTTTTTTCCCCTTTCTCTCGTCTTTTCAAAACATATTCCCTTTTATTCATATTCTTTTCTCTGCTTTCTCTTCCATCGCCTATTCTGTATTCGATCTTTATCCTGAAACAGCAAAATACATCCTAACTGAACAAGCAGGATACTATTTAGCCGTTCCACTCAGATATGTCGATGTCATCATTGAGATAATTGCAGAAAAAAAATAACCTATTGATATCATCAAAATACAATAAGAAAACCTTGGTTGAAGACATTAACGTCTAATTACGGCGGAAAATAGACATCCGATTATTTTTTCTGTGATATTTTATTTTTCCCAGAATACCCTTTTCTATGTAAATCATATTCTGACACAGAAGTACATTTTTCATGCATACTGAAATAAATATTTCCAATCAGTACATAAATAAACAGTACGTAAATATTTCAAAGTCTAATATGTGCAAATATTGATGAAAACCCAAATTTAATTTCAATGTATGAAATTAACATTCAGCTTGTTTTTTTTAAATTAATTAATTAAATTATTTACATCATTCCGACTATTGTCCTCATCTTTGTCGCCATATTTATTACAACGTTTCGGCCTTTGTACGCTCCGGCCTTCTTCAGGTGGTTGGAATGTCGAACTGAACCCTTTATTTCCCACACTGGGGTAGTCTGTTCTAGCTCCACGGGCAATGTTTAATGGATGTGAGTTATCAGTTATCCACTGAGCCACGTGTCCTTGACGACACGTGGCACAGTGGATAAAGGTGATAGTTAGATCCAGTGACCCAAACAGTGTGATTTCAATACCCGGTTAAGGCAGTGACGAACTTTCAGAGGAGAATTAACAGGATATAATAAGCAACATTTTTTAATGACGGCATTCATTTTCAAGCTAGAATAACAAGTCTTTTATGTCTAATTTTTTGAAGTATTTTGGCAAAAAATATTTGAACTGTCTTTCGCTGCTGTGTACCTTAGTGAGTGTAAGCGACCATTTACAGGAAATGCAGAGCAACTATCAGTCTATTTGTGAAGGAAAGAGCGAAATGGAAAACATGGGATAGAACGTTTTTGAAGGCTTAAGGATGTGGATGCTCGCCATGTTCTTGTGGCCGCTCTTGGAACTTTGACAGGGAAAATCTAAAAATTAACTGGGTAAAATTCGAAATCGGATTCGAATCAAGAGGTTCAAGAAAACAATACAACTTACGACAAACATAATTCATAGAATTTTTTTAAGTAGAGAGGTGAAGAAATCTCAAGGTCTCTGGTCATGAGTTATTTCACATTCCTGAACCGTAAATATGGTCATGAGTTTTGTCTCAGAATAATAATAATAATAATAATAATAATAATAATAATAATGGACTAATTTTTAGTCCCTTCTGTCCAGAATCCGCCGACTTTTCTGCCCTTACAACACACGTGGATAGTTAGGTATGCAAACTTATAACGTCCACCCCGCGGGTATTTATCAGAATAACGGGAGAGTTCTATAGAATTTAAACTAAACTGTTTCATTAATTTCTCTTAGTAACTAAACAACTAACGGAAAAGTTTCAGTAGAAACATGATGATTCTCATGATGTTACTTATGTTTTGGTGACATTTCATTCACGCCGGTCGCGTTTAATTCGTTTTGACGCATTGATTACCAGTACAACCGTTTTTCTCAAGACAGCGGCGTTTGTACAAAAACTTGTACATTTGTATATTTCTATGCAATTTTTAGACATAACTTGTATAACTTGTAGTTTGCCGACAGTAAATATTGTTAAATAATGTGTCCTTGCTTTTATTTATATTTTCTTATATCATGCTCTTCTCTACATGTTAATAATAATAATAATAATAATAAAAAAATAATAATAATTGTAAAACCATACTAACGATAATACTATTTTTCTTCCTTTATGATTTTTCTCTTTTCTTATAGAACAAGATGAAGAACAGCAATGCTATAAAGAATGTGTAGCGGCATTTCGTTGAAGAATATGAGCATGTAACTCGTAGTTGAATGTTCAATCTCTTCCGTTGCACTTTTCGCTTGTGGAACTTTCTTCCGGCTTCTTGCTTTTCAGTCTTTCCGTCTTCTTAATTCCTGTGCTTTTATTGTTATTTCTCATTAATAATGCATTTTTTCTGTCAAACTGAGTAACCCTTTGCTTTTTAGTAGCTTTATTCCCTTCCTTTGTTTGAAATAATTAACAGTACAGTTTTCAGCCATCATTTAAAAGTTGATTAAATTCTAAAAAGAATGCTGACCATTTATCATCATTGCTGAGTAGACAAAGGCTTTTTTGTACAGAAACTCCTTACTGGGCAAACTGCGGCATCTAATCCATAAGTTAGTATATGCTGCTGATTCTTGTAATTTTCTCACTCTTGAATTGTACTCCCTGAAAATTATTAGAGCCTCATTTCATAATTTATAGCCTTTTCTCTCTTCAATGGTCAACGCTTTTCCCATTCTGTTTTGCATGAATTTTTAATAAAGCAAACCTTTTTTTTTTTTATCAATCTCCGGTAAGAGACAAGCGTTATTAAAATTGTCTTAAAGATTATCGACAACCACTCTGATGCTATTACGCAAATCCTTTGGATAGATTGAGCATTAGTTTTATGTAGTATCATTGTCGATATCACATTCTAGGTATAATAATATTGTATTTCTCTATTCCAGTCTGATTTTCGTACATAGAAATACAATAACAAGATCAGTGTGTGAGAGGCAGGCATGGCCAAAGATATTGCAGGTATCCACATGTCCCAATGTGGATGATATTATGTCGCTATCTCGCTTTTTTGAGAACTCGTTTGTTCTCTTTAGTTCTCTATGTAATGAGCAATGAGGGTCTCATATATCAACCGGCCCACAGTAGATCGTTTGCTGTCACTGAAGGCAAGGTTGAACGGTATTTTCCTGAGTGTAGGATTTATATTAGAAAATCTGGTTTTCTCCGTCTGGAAATTCTCCAGAGGAGGTTTTCTACTAAGATCTTCCATCGTCATTCCTCTGGACACGGCTCAATCAGCAGAGACGTTACTACCTCACAAGAGATACTGGAATCTCTGATCTTTCAAGGTATGTTTAATTTTGATTTTGTCACATAGGTCATGACTTGTATATAATTAAGTCATTGCAAAAAATGTATTTAACTCTTGATATACATAGGTGGCCCAGGCTGCGCTACCGTGCAAGTGCATGCTTATGTACGCTTGTATTCTTGTGCGAGCTGATTATTTGCTATTGTCCCCGAATGAGCTCTGTGTTTTCCAGAC